CACCGCCCCCCTCCATATCGACGGCCTCCCGCCCCGCCCACTGCTGCGCATGCGCGGCCGTCCCTCAGCAGCGCGGCAACCAATCAACGAGCGCCGCTCGCGCGGGGTGGGACACGCTTTCTTCCCGCCGCCAAAACACGCGCTCCTCCAGCCAATCAGAACGTCCGCTCCTCTGATTGCTCCGCCCCCTCAGCGTCTCCTTCGCTGGGTTTCCCTTGCTATGGCGTCCCTTCCCCCTCCCGTCGCGGCGTCAGGGCTCGCCGTGGCGGTGACGGGGCCGCGGCGGTGACGTAATCACGCCGGAGGGCTGCACCGTGACGTTAGGGGGCGGTGGTCGAGCTCCGCCCGCCCTGAGGTGTCCCGGGAGGCTCCGCGGAGCGGTGGACGGTGCCTGTCGCTGAGCCTGGGCACTCAGAAGTCTAAAAATAAATAGTCTTTGGAAAATGGGTTAAAAAACCCAGAAAAAAACAACAAAACAAATGGCCCCCAGCACGGTGCTGTTTGGCTCCATCACCTTTTAGCCCGTGTGTTCTGAGAACAGCGAAAACGGAGCCCGTATTACGATGTCTGAGACTTTATTGGCTGTCTATAACTCTGTATAAATACCTGCGATATCGGAAACGTCACCACTACACCAAAGTAGTACGTTATTAAAACATCCTGGAAACAGCACACATCCCACAACGGTGTCGCCTGTTAGCTTGACTCACAGGAGCACATTTTTTTTCTACCATTACATACTGATACTTGTGGAATAATACTTTATTGACATAACACAAGAGATTAACTCCTCTTTTTTTTTTTGCATATAGTTTTCTCCTCGAGTGCCTCCTGTCACTGAAGACCCTTGGTGTTCAAACCTCTCCAAAACCTTATTTCCATTATTTTGCAGGTCTGGGCAGGGCAGCGTTACTGAGAGGTTTCCCAGCATCGACCTCTGCTTCACAGAATCCCAGAATCCCACACCGTTAGGGATTGGAAGGGACCTCCAAAGCTCATCCAGTCCAATCCCCCTGCCGGAGCAGGAACACCCAGATGAGGTTACACAGGAAGGCGTCCAGGCGGGTTTTGAATGTCTGCAGAGAAGGAGACTCCACAACCTCTCTGGGCAGCCTGGGCCAGTGCTCTGTCACCCTCACTGAGAAGAAGTTTCTTCTCAAATTGAAGTGGAACCTCCTGTGTTCCAGTTTGTGTCCGTTACCCCTTGTCCTATCATTGTTTGTCACCGAGAAGAGCCTGGCTCCATCCTCGTGACACTCGCCCTTTACAAATTTATAAACATGAATGAGGTCTCCCCTCAGTCTCCTCTTCTGCAAACTAAAGAGCCCCAGCTCCCTCAGCCGCTCCTCAGAAGGGAGATGCTCCACTTCACAGGCCCAGGTTGTGCTGAGCGCTCGGGCCCTGCGAGGCGTTTCAGTGAGTATTTCATGTCAACAGACAGAAAAGAGTCTTTTAAGAAAAAAAAAAAAGAATAAAAGCTCATTTCTGGTCAAGACCTAATATTTTTCCAATTAAAAACCACTCCTGATCATCCGCTCTCTCCTCTGGATCAGCTCTACAAGCACCCTAACCGTAAGTGAGCTTCATACACTATGGATCAGCCCTGGCACGGAATCTTTGCGATTGCTGCTTCTGCTGTACACAAATACAGAAGCCGCCATGTGGCGTTTGCCTCCCTGCTGCTCCAGTGACAGCACCGCCCCGCGCTCTGTGCCTGGCCAGAGCTCTGAAACGGCAGCTTTCAGCTTCAGCAAAACGCCAATTTTTGTTGCAGCCCCTGGGCTGTGTGTGCCCTCCCTGGAAAAAGGAACTTTGTGTACAAATTTTGCTGCTCTCCAGGTGATTTTTTTTTTGTGGGGGGGGTCGCAGGGCACAGTCACTGCCTCAGGGTAGCAAACCCCATGCTGGATCAGGGCAGCTGCGACTGCGGAGCAGCCGCTCGGCTTTCTGTAATCCCCCACGCATAATATGGCTTTTCCTGTCTGATTACTGGTTCTGTATTAAAATCTGCAAATGCTTATCCTGTGGCTTGGTAAATAACTGCCTAAAAAAATTCCTTTTCGAGAAGTTTGTCAACTGACTTCATTAAAAAAAAAAAAAAAATCCAAGGTAGGTATAAACTCATTGTCCTCACTCAGGAAACAGCAGCACCGTTACATGTTACAAAGTCTTACAACACGCTGTAAAAAGAATTGCATTGTTCTTTGGGAAAACTCGTTGTGTAAATGGTGACCCGGAATGGCAGTGCAGAGGTGGACGAGCTGGCGTCCCCAGGCCGTGACAATCCTACCACCAGCACAGCGAGACCGAACGCGGCAACAACTGAAACCGGAGCGAGACAAAAGCACAAAGCAGAGGTCATCTACTGGCTACGGGTAACAAAGGAACCACTGGCAAACACTTTTTCCTCCGGATAGGATCAAACAGCCAGGTTCAAAGGCTCCTGCAAACCTTGTCTGGCGCAGCAGAAGCCTGCAGCTGGGTGCTGCAGCTGCGCAGCGACTGTCGGTGTCGGCGATACCCGAATGCATCCCCTCCCCAAGCACGTCAACCCTCCAGGACTATTTACAGGGACTTACAAAACTGTTGTGAAGACAGCTTACTGCTGTTGGAGAGAAGGTGAAAGAAGCCTTTTTCTGCTGTTTGCTCCACGTTTTTAAGCCACTTGGGATCTTTTTCCAGCCACAGTGGCCAAAAGTGTGAATTTGTCAGCAGATCGAGTCACCAGCCTCGTTTCTTCCATCGGGTCCATACAGACACACACACAGTGACCAGCTATGACTGCTCTGCCCACAGGACACTAAAGAAGGGCTCTCCACACAGCAGACCGCGGGCTCCCGACGCACACCGACACTCGGGGCTCTCCTGTCCCCTCCTGGCTTCCCCCAGTGCCAGCATCCAAGGGTCAGTGGGATGTTGCTTGCTGGAGCCGTGGCGAGCTGACAGCAGTGCCCAGCACTTTAGCTCTTGGCACCGCTGACGGGAACCTTGGACACGGTGGGGCAGTCACTCCGGAAAGCGCCGAGGTCCTCGGTCGCAGTGGCTTCAGGGCCGGCGGTGCCCGTCCCCTGGGGCAGGCAGGCGTCGCGGGGTCCCCCCCGGCTGCGCCCACTGCGGGAGCAGTCGTGGTGCCCGTGGTTGCCCAAGCGGCTGGAAGCCACCACAGCTTTCATGGCAGCCTGTTGCAAAGGCACAGCGGCACGGGCGGCTGTTAGCCTGTGTTTGTCCCCTCCGATGCCGCTCCATCGCCTTTCACCTCCCTCCCCAAGCCAGCCCCTGCATTGCCACGTCTCGCTGAGCATCTATCTGCTCGCGGCAGGGGATCCTTAAACCCCAGTGACTGTGGCTCTCGGAGGCCTCAGCCGTTTGCATAGGGGAGGACACAAACAGGAGCCACCCCTGGGTTTAATGGGGCGTTTTGGCCTTACCTTCAGCTTCCGTCTGGCGTTAAATTCCTGCAGTTTCTTCTGCGTGCTGTCCATGTGAGCAAATTTGGCGGCTTTCCCGGTGACCCAGGGGTGCTCCAGAGCCTGGTAGACTGTCAGCCTCTTCTGGGGATCCAGGACAATCAGTTTTCTGACCTGTAACCAGTTTCAGACACCCAAAAAGGCTTCATTTGTCAAAGTTTTGTTATTTTGTCTATAGTTTTCTCATTTATACAAGCACTGATCCAAAGACTTCACACTCGGCAGCCCCGAGCTGCGGCGCAGGCTCACTCACCAAGTCCTTGGCATTGAGGGAAACCTCGTCCCACCACGGGGACACGAACTCGTAGTCGCAGGTGAGGATGCGGCTGTACATGTACTGGTCCCCTCGCGGGTCGAAGAAGGGCTCGAAGCCGCAGAGCCTGCGAGCACAGGACAGAGGAGCTGCACCGCGCCGCCCCCACAAACTGTGCCCCCGTTGCAGTCTCACTGCCCACGGCGTTACTCACAGGATGTAGGTGATGACACCCACAGACCACATATCCACCTCCGGGCCATACGGGCACCCGTGAAGGACTTCAGGGGCTGGAAGCAGAGTTTGGGGTTCAGATGCACAAGGGTGGGAACCTCACGGTGGAGGAAACATGGCTGCTACCATCAGCCATCCCTGCACCGAGCTGTGCGCGGCCTCAGGCAGGGAGCAGCGTCCCCAGACCTCCCTCCTGCCCCAGCTCACCGCAGTACCCCGGTGTCCCGCAGACAGTTTTCATGGTGTCCTGCTCATCCACGATCTTGGAGAGCCCGAAGTCACCTTGGAGGGACACAGAGAGGCACCATTAACCCCACCTCTGCCATGGATACCCCGCAGGGGGACCACAGCACACCCACCGATTTTAAGGGGCGCATCGGGGGACAGGTCCGCGTAGAGCAGGTTTTCCGGCTTCAGGTCGCGGTGGACGACTCCATTTTCATGCAGATACTACAGGAAGAGAGAAAATGGGGATGCAGGAGGGATGGGGAGGGCAGGGAAGCCCCGTCTGCTTCGGGCAGAATTTGGGAAGAGGCAGCCACGCTCTGGAACCCACAAACACGGGACCAACTCACCCACCCGTTCCTTTGGAAACGCCAACACCTGCAGTGGGGCACGGGGAGGACATTTCCCGTTACCAGTTTCCATTTTTAAACCCTCCCGTTGCCATAGAAACCCCATCTCCAGCCGACCCGTGCTGCAGAGCAGCGCCGGCCTTCCTCCCTCTGCTCCCTCACCTCCATCGTCCCTCCTCTCCCTCATCCTCCACAGAGGTGCATTGGGAGAGGTGATGCCTTTGGTGGGCCAAGGGGGAGGGGGCAAACGCCTCTCCCCAGGGGTATTTGGGAGGGTGCAGCCCCCATGACCCTCGCCTGGGACCCCTGCCCAGGACCCCCTCACCGTGTTATCTCCAGGGGATGTGGGGAGGCCGCGCCGGGGCCACGTTACCGAAACGGCTTCCAGGATCTGCTTGACGACGTGGGCCGCGTCCCGCTCGCTGTAGAAGCCCCTCTCCACGATTCTGCGGGCACACGGGGTCAGCGCCCTGCCCCGCACGGACCCCTCTCACCCCCAACCACGCTGTGCGTCAGCCCCCTCCATCCTCGTCCTCCCGCCACCCTCCCGGTGGGGTTTGTCCCCCGGTTTGGAGCAGGGTGTACCTGTCAAAGAGCTCTCCTCCCGTCACCAGCTCCAGCACCAGCGCGATCTCGGACGGCGTCTCGAAGATCTCCTTCAGCTTGATCTGGAACGGGAGACGGGGGATGCGGATGTGGGGGCGGCCGTGCCGGGGAAGCACATGATCACCAGACAGAAGGGATTTATCGGGGCAGCCAGTGTGCTTCCCTCCGCATCTTTTCATTTAAACAGGATTTTTTTTTAAACTGGTTGGTCCAGCATCATCGTTTGTTGAAGGTGATGCTGGGAACGGGGCGAGATGGGCATGTGGTGGTTTTATCCACAGAAAAGCTCGTCTGCTCGAAGAGGAGCTCACCCAAAGATTTTTAATTTCACAGCTTCCTCAGGCACCTCCGTCCACCCATGGCTTGTGAATGACCCCCAGCAAAGCCCTGCCCTCACTGCTCTGGGAGGGATCACGCACAGGATCAAGGCCCTGGGACCCCACAGGGGCTTTTGGGAATGTCCTCTGGAGCGTTTTGCAGCAGAAGAGGCACTAAAGAAACCCTGCTTCACTCCTGACTTCTGTTACTTTAGGTCCCACGTGAAGTGAGTTTGTCTGCACAGGACCTTTGTGCCACAGCAGCAAATCTGGAATTAACAGGTCTCTCTTAAAAATATGTCAAAATGCAATCTAAAAAAAAAAAAAAAAAGAAAAATTTAAAATGGAAAACAGAAAATTTCATGCTTCTTAAGACTTTTGTGACACTGCGAATTTCATGGGGCTTTAATCATTACCTTCATAGGCTGGGTGACAAGCCGTGATACCCCGCAGGGTGAGAGACACTATGTGGCAGCTTATTGCATTATAATAATACACGGAAGCACTATAATTTTCCTATTAACTTCAAAAGTTTACAATCCTATTATCATCCGCTGTCGAGGTTGGTGCTGAACCATCGCGAGCACGCAGACGGCACCACCGTAAATAATGAACCGGCGCATCTCTCCTCCGAAAACCGCTTGAACCTGGGAGCGAGCAGAAACTGCCCTACCGAAAACTCCCCGTTTAAACATTGAAACTCCAGCTGGGTCCTCCCCCGCGCCCTGGCGGTGCTGCTGCCTGGGGAGCAAGGGCAGAAATTGCATTTTCTGTTGCATTTCTGATAGCGCAGCAGAGGAGCCTCTCCCCAGCGTCCCCCAGCAGCGGGGGGTGCGATCCTGGTCCTGTCCCCACGCCCAGGGCTTGGAAGCACCTCCACAGAACAGGGGGAAGTGCCCAATTGCCCCTAAACCCTGCAACCCCCCAGAGCCCAGGGCAGGTCCAGGTCACACAGGCCCAGGGATGCCCCTACTCCAGCGCCTTTGTCCCCATTTTCTCTGTTTTTAGGCTGTTTTGGACTTGTCTTGGCTTCGAGGCTTGTTGGAGGCTCTCCAGCCTCATGGCTCTTTGGGGGCTCCCCAGCCTCATGGCTCATGGGCGGCTGATGTGGGCCAGGCTGGAA